GTATAAATGCCTATAAACTCCTTTTTAGTTCAGTGCAGTCGGATACGGAGATAGGTACAGCATTGACCGGAAACGTAAAACCCAATGAAACAACAAGACTGCATGTCTAGAGGCTCGCATATTAGGAGTCTAGGATCCGACATAAGCAGAATGATACTCGCATCAAGCGCTCTGACAAGTGCTACTGCTACTATGTCTAAATACAAATGTGTGTGGATTCGAGAGACGCCAATGTGCAAACCCCTGCCAAACCCTAAAAGGCCCCACGGGACACCTATATTACGAACCTATTTTCTGCTTGGCTTTCTTCCTGAGGATCTCAGGCTCAGTGCTGCACTCAGTCACTCACTCTGGCACCCTACGCTTGAAGGCCAACCCCCTGCATGATACGCACACCCCGCAAATATTGATGCCGAAACTCTGGTTTAGGCCCTGACATGGCCTTTGGCCATATAAAAACCCTGGCTGACAATACATCAGGGACGATGCAGAATCAGAATGCAAACACATGAAAACTTGAAGCCAACAGTCCGAACAGCACTTGGCTCCGTCGCCTTTACCGCTGCCTGGCCCACCGATAACGAAAACCACCTGTCTTGTGGAGTTTCTGAGGCTTCAGCCTTCACAGAGGTTGTAAGATCCCTGTTTTTCTGAGCCTTTTTCTTTTTCTTCTCTTTTGTAGGAGATCGAAGTGCAAAGGGGCTTCCCCCGGATTTATCCCAAACTGCACATTGCATGGACTCTTGCGTCCAAGGCTCGGAATGGCCCTGTGTAGCCCCAAAACCACCCCTAAACCTTCTAGTCTAACTCACCGAGGCACAAGGCTATCAAACCTTAACTTTGTCAATCCGTAAACCCACGAGTCTCCAAAACCAAGGCCTGGGTCCCTAAGTTGGAAGGCTCCAAAGCCCCGCCCTAACAGCTATATAGCAATGGTGTTGCTGCTCATTTACGATGCCGCAAACACTTCCCACCAAGTCAGTCCAAATCGATTCTTCCGGCCCACGTATTAGGACTTCGGGCTTCGGGGTTTGCAGGAGCTTCTGCTCTTTTTTGGCGGACCTCATGACAACTTAGTGGCTTTTCGGCGCTGAAACTCGGACAAGCTATGTATGTCATGTTGCTTGATCACTCTTGGCTGTGGCTGTTTTCGAGCTTGCGACTTCGGACGTGATTGCGACTTTAAGAGGAAACGTCTCAATGCCTGAAGTCAAAACTTCCTGTAACCACAGCAAGAAACCTCTTCAAACAGAACGTCAAGCATTACGATTATTACGAACCTTGGAGCACGAGATAAGCTGAAATCACTTGTGTGTTTGCGGGCGTTTCAGCTAAAGCCCTCGCCGCAACGACAAGGGACGAGAATGCTCCAGACCTGAAGTATTTATACTTTTTGCAACGACTACTAAATATGGTACTCGAACTGTTGGACTGCAGGGATCTGCCTAACATGGAACTGCATGTCCGGACCTTGGGCTTTGGACCCTCAGCAGCAGAGTCCGCCGCGGACCGACGCACGAAGGACCTGTCGAACTTCATGCTTGCGAAGGAAATCGTCATACCAATAACCACATCTGGCAGCTTCATTTACGGCTGCCGGTCTGACCTACATCATTGGGCTCCTGACTCTGAAGCTGGGGTGATTCGAGTTTGCAGCAGAATTCTTACGATGTTATACGCGACTATGGGCTTTGGGATATAGCCGCCCGTCACCTCAAACTTACAGGATGTCGGTCTAGCCCTCTTGGATCAGTGAAGGCAACTTTCCGATCGATTGTGCAGTAAACTAAAATTGAAACCAAGGCCCGGGGAGCCCGGTTGGAGCTGTCCCAAAGAGGCTAGGACGGCTAGGATCCATGTTCACTACTTCGAAAGCCCGACTGAGAATCATCGGATTGCTCTGGGCATGCACGTAAAATCTACGATTCCACGGTTTGCATGTTTCTAAACCTTCGAATCCCAATCGCCTGACCTGCTATCCTTGACATTCCTTGACAGAAGACTCGCGGGATGTGGTTTGCAAACTAGCTACTCAGCTGGCGACACTAGGCGGGAGAAGAACCACGAAGATTCTTTTTATGCTTGGTCTGATGTAAAAGGCTGATTAATGTGGGGATCCGCTATATTGCAAAGCTTGTTTTTGTAATTCGGGGGTCCCCTATCCGGCCCGTTTTTTTTGGAAGCCGGGCTTCCGAATCTACAGAAAGGCTTCAAGGGTCCAATTGCAACACATTGCAAAGCTTTTGGATGAGACCCGGCTATCTGGATGGGCTTGAAGCCAGAAATCTAGGGCCTAGGGGTTCCTTGCTAAGCCACTTCTGCGGGGAGGCCGGGTATCAACTCTTCCAGGCTGTAGCCCAGCAAACTCTTGGGACTAATCTTGTGCATGACGCCCAGCTGTCTGGATGGGGCTGGGGCCGGATCTAAACTGCTTATGTGGGCCAGGGCATCAATTCTGCTAGGCGCCTTAGTTTGGGGGTACCCCGTAATGCTAAGTTTCCCGGGCCGGCCGGCCGATTTCTAGATTCTGTATTACTTCCAATACTAGGAGGCGTAGGCTTCCTTCGCCGGCCAAACCGGAAAAAACAGATGTTGTTGAGCCGCTTTGTTTTCCTTGGGGGCGGGGGCCCCGACCCTAATCAGACCCTTGCTTACTGCTTACAGTACTCTGCCGTACCAATCGGCGAAAGCACATCCGACTGCAAAGCAATGGGTAAGACAAACTTGGGAATGTTGCTCTAGCATCGCACGAAGATTCGCTGGCATTCATGTTGGAAGCGTACCTGGAGGAGCTTTGCTTTCGGAGTTTGTTAGAAACAGATTTGGTGACACCTCAACACTCCCCCCGGATAAAAGAGCGCTCATAACAAGAGCTTGGTTCAAAGCCAAGCCCGACACACCTCCCAACATTTGCAAGAACTTCCTAAACTTCTCTGGCTCTCTTCTTCTTCCCCAGGGCATAGGGGGCGTGTCAGAACCCCCGGCCTATTGGCCCCACATATGTTATGGGGCTTTCGGGGGTGTGAGAACTTTGTTTCGAGTATCGGTGTTTCGATATTTTGGCTCTCTCTCTCTCTCTCTCTCTCTCTCTCTCGTTTGCGGTTTGAGAACTTCAGACTTTTTTGCCCTCGTTTGCCAAGGCCGTCCAAGGATATACTGGCAAGCTGTAGAAACCCAGGTGAGACACATCTTGTGCCGTTGGTTTGAAGATGTGGCCGCAGCTGAACGACGATGCAATAACAGTCTGCATGGAGGTGGGCGGGAGCGGGGCAGGTCCAGTCAGTGATTTTTGTCTTGACATTCTTTATGGAGAAAACCAGAGGAAGGGTACGCCAGGGCAGGAAGCTGCAAGACCCGGTGCCCGAAAGGGCAAGGTGTTGCTCCTGTGTTTTTGGCACCAGCGGCATGCTTGTTAAAATCAGAAGCCGTGAACAACCAAATGAGGCTATCTAGGCAAATGTTGTTCCTGGAGTTTTGTGTCTGCATCCTCATCAAAAACTACCGTACCTAGAACCATGCTACCACCAGCACGTGTCCCAACTCGCAGATCAAGGGGTTGGCCATTTTTGCTGGTTCTCCCAGAAGGCCCCAAGTCCAGGATTCCGAATCTCTCCAAGAAAGTCATGCTTTCGAGGTGAAGGCAACTTCCTTCGGGCTTCCACGTTTCGGGATTCCGTTGACGAATCAGGTTCTTTCCCTCTGAATGTATGGCTCTGGAAACCCGAGTTCTGAAACAGGTAGGCTTTTGGAGCATTCGAGTATAGGGTCGTCTTTCGAAGAACAAGGGCTGTTTTTCTTGGTGGTCCAAGTCGCTCCTTGGACTCCTAGACTCAGTCGTCAGACGGACTCTTTCTTCTGAGCTTTATCCACACATGTGTTCATCCCGTGGAAGAGTCTAAAGTTTCTCTTGAAAGTTTCGGGCCTGTTCAGACAAGAGAACCCAAGTCAAGACGACCTCTAGCAACCTTGCAGAAAGCACCCTGCGCCACATCACGTCAACGACGACTCTTCGTTCGGACTGCAGATAGTCGCAGTCATGCAAGCAGTTGTTGCCTGCCGCTTGTGGGCAGCTGCAAGAATTCGTGAGAATACCAGTCCTAAGCAGCATAAACCCCTAAACACGCCCTAAACGCTAGACAATCGGTTGCTGGCGGTGGATTTGGGCTTTGGTGCGAAGCTCATCGGGAGAAACCGGAAACTCTGAGCCTGCCGACCCACATTTCTGCATGCTAAGGAGGACTCAGTCCAATGCTCTTGGTCCTAGGGTCGGGTGCCCTCTCACAGGAGATCCCAGCTGTCGTCGCTGGGCGTGGCCAGTGTCTTGGCGGCCGATGGCGTGAATTTAAGAAATGCAGAAGCCTAACTGCTCGGCACCGTGGTCATGACGCCTCACATTTCAGCATTGAGTCTTGTTACGAAATTGGTTCGGTGTTTACGGTTGCTGAGCTTTAGTTTAGTACTTCATACGACGGGAAGCAGCCAGAGTCCAGTCAGAGACTCAAACCTAGGCCTCAGCACCAAAACCACATGAAACAAATTTCGGCCCCATCATGCAAAACAAAAACCCTTAATGCGCTATACGCACACGAAAGCTTGCAGTTGCCCATCTGGTTGCCTTGTTTGCGACTGCCTACAGGTAATGACCTTTGAACGAACCGTGTGCACAAAGACAAGCCCAAAACACTTTGGCAAATTCAAGCCTGTGCTTCTAAATCCTCTTAAGTCTCAGCTAAAGATTTCTGAAAGTGAGTCAGGTCGTCCTGCAAGGTGCAGCGAAAACGGAAATTCCTCCGAAGCCAGTCTGACTGAGTGCTCCAACTTTGAAACCCTCTTCAACCACCACCCTGCCAAATCACTCAAAACGCGCAGCAGACACGAGTACGTACATCCAGCCACCAATCCATCATCGCAAACAGTTTAGGCCCCATCAAACCCTGCCCTCAACCATGAAGCTTCTGAATTCCCTGCATGGTCGAGCAAAGCCACTGGAGTACCAAGGTCTAACCGATCTGCTGCACAACACACGGCAAATGACGGCCGTCCGGTGACAAATGGTGTCGCGACACCTGCACGAAGACTCTACAAAGCACAATGCAATAAATGCATGCACTTTCTGATACGTAGCATGTAATGATATCTGGCCTTGCGTTTAATGATTTTGGGCTGCTTTCGAGGTCAGGGTGCTTTCGAAGCAAGTCTTACAGCTTGCGGGGCAGCTAAAGTAGGGTAGTGAAAGACTTCGTGCAGCTTGACTGATCCTGTACATACCTGTAACATAACTGGAGCCTGCCTGCGTTCTGCTGGATAAGCTAAAAGAACCAAAGGGCGCCTCCCTCCCACCTGCAACCAAGCCAGAATCCTAAGCCTTTCCCTAGTCGAGCAAAGCCTAGACTCCAAAACACCAAAAACCAAATCCCAAAACTTGAAACGAACCCAAAATCCCTGATGCCACAAAAGCAATATTGCGGCGAGGGCGTGGGTGAGGCAGAGGGTTGCGAATTCCTTAGACTTGAAGAACAACATCCCACCTCGACAAACTCCGGATGGGCTTTGAGGAAGTCTGTGCTGGAAGCTTCGGCCGAAGTCTGGTTGCCTTTAGTCCATGGCTTTGGATGATTCAGGCTGGCTCTGCTTCAGGTTCAGGTGGGAGCTGAGGGAGTTTTAGAATATCAGGCAGTAACGTTCAATGGTCTGAACCAGAAGCTGTTTCTGTGACTTATCTTGTCACACCTGATGCAGGGCTCTCAGCTTGGGGATTTGTCGAGGGGTCAGCTGCTGAAACCCGTTTTTCAGGATTGAAGGCTGGCCTCCTGGATATGCTGAAATGCCTGTTTGTATGCCCTCGAGCTGCTGACCACTGAGTTAGAAGCCTGAAGTCTCCAACGAGACCCCAAGTCATTACGGCTACAGTTACAACTCCAGCGCCCGCTTTAAGAAACATAAGAAACCCATCCAAAGCGGTCAAGCGTATGTGCAGCACTTCAGGCAGGGCTATTGTTCTGCGTAGACATTTCACATCGTCCATATTTCCTAGTGTTGCACGGGTACTGCCAAAGGTGGGACGGTACCAGTTATACGGAGCCCTCGCACATTAGAGGACTCGGCAGCTCGCGAGCCTTTCTGGGTTGTTCAGGTTTGGGCTGCGCCAGCTGCAGGGACTCGGAGAAAAGATCAGAACGGGAAAAGCGAAAAGTGACAGGATCACGACAGAATCACCGACCGAACTGCCAGTAGCCTCAAAATCTGCACGTGCAGCCAGTACACCACCCCTGGGACAACTGTTTCGGAAAGGGCCCGACATGAACTGACATGAACTGTTCACTTGCAAAGCTCTGACAAAGCGGCCGCGGCCGACAGCGAAGGTCTTGTTCATGATGCGTCCTCGACCCCGCCACTTCACAAGCGACTTGGTACTGTACGTAGTCTTTTCCGGCCACTCATTTTTGGCAAGGCAGTCGAGGCTAGCAGGGAAATCCGAACCGCTGAAGTCTACTGACGATAGGACCCATCCTTCTTGCCACTCATCATAAGGAGTCTTCAAAGTTGAAAAATGCATAGCTTCCTTCTCGGATTGGGGTTCTGTAGGAGCGAACGAGTTTGTCAGAACTCACCCGCTCCAGCTTGTGCTGTTGCTATGGCTGCTTCAACCGCTGTTCAGGACCAGAGGTTCAAACGATGAGCGCTGTAGGGAAACGACCTTCCCCCCAAAAGGGAAGCTGCTTGGCAGCCGGGGCACCGATCAGGGTTCCCTCCTTGAAGAGCGCGCCGCAGCTATACCTTTGGGTCGCCGAAGGTCCAACGCACATTTGGCCAGATCCATCGCACGGAGTTTACGTCTAAGTAGTTTTACAGCCAGTGCTTTTCGGAGGCTGCAGACACAGCATTTCCCCTCTCGTTTCTACAAACATGTGATGATCTAGGTGTCCATCCACCTAAACAGCTAAACGCCCATCCAGCTGAACGTTGATGTACGTGATTTTGGATCTGCGGGTGTTTCGTAATTGCTGTGTCTCTTCTCACGAAGAGCTAGGAGAAGAACTGTGCTGCCTCTTGCAAAGCACATCCGCAACCCTCTGCAGTATATTGAGACAGATTTGGTCATTAAAGCTGGGAGAGGGAGAGGGTTCAAGAGGGAGCTAAAGGCTTCGAAGGTATATGCACAAAAAGCGGCGTCTTCCAATGCATCAAAGCATTGAAGAGGTGGTAGACTTTCCGGTCTAACGGGGCCGGAATGTTCTTCTCCCTGAAGACCTCAGTGGAAAGCACAAAGCTCTTGATCTGAGAGCTTGCAGGGGCGCAGGGCTGGAAGGACTGGAAATTGAAATCGAGAGTCTCAACTTTACACAAACAATTAGCGCTTGAAGCCAAAGACGTTAAAGCTCTGACTCTAACCTTCAAGTTAATTTCCGTGCAGCTTTAGGCTGTAGGTGTAAGTATGCATATGTAATAAATATAAACAAGTAAATAAACAAATAATAAAATAATATAAATACATAAATAAAAAATATAAATATAAATATAAATATAAATATAAATAAACAAATATACAAATATATATGCATACATACATACATACATACATACATACATACATACATACATACATACATACATACATACATACGTGTGTGTGTGTGTGCGCGCGCGTGCGCGCACCTCGGTTGTAAAATATCAAAATATACGGAACTTGGAATGGACGGTTGGATCTTGACCCGCATGCCGCGTTTTTGCTGCCTTTCAACCATTTCGAAAGGCGCCATAAAGCCCCCAAAAGCCCTCAATTATGTACCTGCAATTTCCAAGAAGCTAAGCCGATGACCTCAACCGGTAGGACTCAGACATGTTCGGAGTCACAATCTCATGTTCATGTGGTGCGCGTTGCTTCGAACAGGGTATCCAAACTGCTATAAAGTTCTGGCTCAATGTGTCAAACATTACGAACAGAGAGCAGTCACAACCCGTCTGCTAACACCTCTCAGCGAAGAATGGAGTTTCTCTACGAACAAAGACAGGCACATGGGTGAACCCGGTTGCAGCAACGGCTTCTGCGGGTCGGTTTAGGGTTGCCTCCCGCATCACAAGGTCCGGGCCATGGGCAGGGTGTTCTTTCAGGGCCCGGGTGGTGTTCATGAGGGTATTTGACGGCAGTTTAAGGTTCAGGCGCTAACCGGTTTTAGGGCTTGGGGTTGATGGCTTAAGCTGCTAGCCTGAGCATCCAGGGGGCAGCTTGGGCATCCTGTAGCAGCGGCGTCCACTCAAGCGCGTAGGCAAAATAATTCCTGAGCTGCTGAAGTCTGAGTGAGGGTTCTGAGTTTTGGTTGAAGTATTCGGAATCTTGAAGCAAGCGAGACTGAAGCCCAATCTAATGGAAAAGCTGCACTTCCCCAACGCACAGATCTCAACGGAAAAAACTCAAATCCAAAATGAAGTCGCCGTGTCGAATTCCATGGCACGTCTAAACCAACAAAGGGCCTCAATAACACTTGGATGCTGATGTCGAACAAATCGAGGGCCAGAAGAGCCTTAACGCCTTCGTATAACAACCTGAAATGCTGATGCCTGAAATCACGAATCGTCCGCACCTACTCCTACGTTCTGCAGCATCCTGCAATGCATCGTTGAACTGCAACAACACTCAAAAAGATTCAAGCCAGAATGAAGCCAGATCTCGGCGTGAAAGACTCTGGACCGGTGAAGCAGAATGCGGAGGTCGGCCTCTCCCGCAAAAAGACCTGTCAGAGCCATCCTTACGGCACCAGAAGGCCACTGTATTGGGATGTACGACTAGTCTACGCGGAAGCAGCAAACCTGAGTTGAGAGATCCTTGCTTCTGTGATGACTTGGACCCTCGCTTCGGAATTTGGCAGGGGTTCGTGGGTGAAGAGCTTTCCTGGGTGACCTCATACTGGGTAGCTTGCTATACCGAAAAGCTTTAGGGTACGCCGTCCAAAACGAAAAGGCTGCTGACAAGGCTGTCCTTGGGAATGGTGTCTGGGTCATTTGAAGCGGCGAATTCCAAGTCGTACATGGATCGGACCTATAACCAAAACACTTTGTGAACCCCACAAGCCCGATGCTCAGAGGCCTCGGCAACAAGAAGTCACACCGCCATAGGCATTTAAGCCTTTAAGCGTTCGGTGTTGAGTTCCCTGACCCAAAACGGTTAGCCGGTGAACCTTTAAAACTATAATGCCTTTATTTACGGCACGTCCAAGAAAAGTGACAAGTCACCTACCCAACCGCTACGTTGTTGCTAATTTGTCCTGGCTCCTGACATTGACACTCTCGACGTGTGTCTTCCTAGTCTCGAGGTTTGGCACCCCAGCCAGGCTTTCGATCGTGTTTGGCACAGAATTCGGACGGCTATAGAAGCCAGAAGCCAACCGATACATGCTTGTAAAATAAGATGCCCTTAGATCCAGTAAGGGCGAAAATAGACTGGCCCAGTTGTCTACCCAGAGCAGGGCTTCCAGCCTGGTGATGCTGAAGGGCTTCTGTTGCCCAGGCCGTGGGGTTGAGGCTGAAAAGGCTCTATAAACCCTAGACAATAATAGCATCCTCATCATAAGGACCCCCAAACCCACAATCTTGAAAAACACCCACATTGCGCTTCTCGATGAGACTGAGACTGGCTGGGGGACTTTAGGCTTTTTCGTCAAAGGTTTCTGCCAGGCAAGCAGCAGAATCCAGAACGGCAGGCGCAACCGCAACCCCGAGGCACAATTCTTCTACAGCGACAGCACTACTTAAGAAAACATTGGATTAGGAAAATGAGACTCTGGATTTGGGGATTGGGGGGGTTCTCCTTGAAATACCAAGCGCTCTTAAAATAAGAAAACCAGGGTACCCTCGTCCAAGAGTCTCATTTTCTTATGTAGGTGCGTTCTGGAACAAAGGAAAATAAGAAAATGCCAGAGTCTCGTTTTCTTATTTAGGTGCTTTCAGGAACACAGGAAAATAAGAACATGCCAGAGTCTCGTTTTCTTATTTA